CCGTGTGACCGGGGCCCTAGTTAGGTTTCGACAGAAAAAAATCACTCAGGTGTACTCAACGTGGCTACGAAAACTTTTTCAGAAGATGGAAAAACAAGGCAAATAAAGGCACAGCTGCAATACCCTCCTAATGGCTAAACCTAAGAAATCCCCCTGGGGCACCAAAGGAGCACATTTTAATCTCGAGATATGCTAATCTTGTGCCCATCTGACAGGGCAGTGGCAGGGCAAGGGCTGGCCACAGCGCCCGCAGCACGGGACTCGTGGCACCAGGCAAAAGGAGGATCCATCCCTTCTACTTTCCATCGAGCAGAAAGTACCAAATGCAGAAGTACAAGTTCCCAAATAGAACCGTCAATTGTTGTGGAGCCCTGCAGGAGCCAGCTCATCTCGGATGTTGAAACAACAGTCCATGAGCTTGTTCTGGCAGAAACACCATTCGGTTTGCAGAGCTCTTCACAGAGAACAGGACCTGGTCCTAGCTAGAATGCAGGTGTTCTCTGCAGGAGATTATTCTGCGACTTAATTGCATTGTCTCCGTTATAAAGCTTTTGGTGAAGGAGTAACAGAACTGATATGGTTTTAGTATGCCTGAGGTAGATAGCACCAGTCTATTTTATTCAGCCTTCTTTGGGGTAGCTGGGATGGAGGTGAGGGTATGGGGCAGAGTCTCTGAAACACAGCATGCCAGGTGTGGGAAAAGAACAGCCGGGCTCTTATAAAAGCCACTGCTGGGTATGAATGGCAAGTCCTGTCCTTAAACACTATAGCTCTAATTTCCCAACAACGTGATAACCTGGCAGGGCATTTTGCTCCTCGGTGAAAAAACTTGGGAGAAAGAATCATGACAACTGTCTATACCTTGGGAGGTTACACGTCAGCGTTCCTCTCTGAAAAACAATTGAATGGATCTGGAGAGCTAGTGATTTTCTTGCCATGCAGAAATGGCCCTTCAAGTGATCCACTGGCCTGCATTTTAGTCGCCTAGCTTATCTGGCTAGCTGCAAATAATGCAGAGGACTAATTTTACACCGCAAGGGCAAACCTGGGCAACCACCTCTTTCCAGAGATCCACATGGCGACAGGTTGCCCTGTCCCTCCACCAACTTCTGGCAAGTCTGGAGGTTTATGACATTCACTCTTACAGGGAAGATCACTGTAACAGAAGTGCCTACTCCTTCAGACGGATTAAAGGAGCTGATCTTACTTTTATGAGTATTCTTGGAGTATACAAGGTTCTCCAATAGAACAGAGTAAAAATTACAAATATTTGGGTCTAATATTCAGTGAAACCTTGAGCTGGAATGCCCACATTGCCTCCTTAAAATCTTCAGCAAATAAGATCATTGGTGTGGTACTGAGATTCTATTACAACAAGGGAGGTTTACTAATAGATCCAGCCCTTAAACTTTTTGTCAGCAAAGTAATTTCACATACACTATATGGTATAGAACTTTGGGGGCTGAAAGAACAAGCACTTTCTAGCTTGGAGGTAATCCAAAAACTTTTTTTAAGGCGTTATCTTGGTACTTCGAAAAGGGACACCAGCAGCTCTATTAAGGGCAGAACTTGGCCTCCTCTCAATTAGGGCTCGTGCTCATCTAGCTGTACTAAAATCATGGAAGAAATACCAATTGATGCAAACTGAATCTCTTGGTAAACTTAGCTATTGTTTGTCACTAAGTAAAGATAAAATTTGCTCTGATTTTGTTCATAATATCATTTCCCGTTATACAATTCCAGATGATTTACTGCGATCTTTAGGGAACAACCACAATCTGAGGCAATGGGTGTTTAATGGAGATGCCAGAATAGATTATTCTTTAATCACTCAGTCAAAATTTGCTCCCTGGTACAAAGACATAAAGAAAGATCATTTAAGATCTGCATACCTGGTAAATATTACCGCATACAAGCTTAGAACAGCATTTACACCATTGCGTTTCCAGACTATGCCAACAGAATTACTCCTGGGACGATACTTAAAAATACCCCAGGAACAACGTATTTGTATCTGTAAAACTTCTGTGGAGGATCTTTTTCATTATGTCATGGTCTGCCCATTGTACTGGGAACC